CATTAGTATGTAACATCACCCACTAATGGTAAATAAACACATAAAGAGTGAACCTCACATGTCAAATGTAACTAACAATCTAATAAATTTCATATCTTTATAGTGAGATTACTTATACTCGCATATCACTAATAATGACATCATCGTTACATTCAAAAAATTTCATAACTAATATAGTTTATTTATAATAATCTCTTCATTTTCAATCAAAACAACCGTTATTGTTTTTATAATTTTTAAAATGTCATTGACATTTCACTCTAATAATATTTTTATAATTTTTTATTTTAAATTTTTTTTTATGTTTACAAAAAAAAAAAAAAACCAGGGGGGGCACGTGACCCCCTGGTCACATGCTCCCTCTGCCACTGTGAACGTGGATTGTTTGATGAGAATCCCACAATGATAGTCTTTCTTCATCGAAGACATATTAAAACTCGAATAAAAGAGAGCTCTAACATGCATAACAACTATGTCTAAGAGTGTAGCAAGAGTATCATTGTTAGTGCATAAAATGTGAAAGTTTTCTTAAATTTGGAGTTTAAAGTAACTATTTAAGTCACCTAATGCAAAGCCAATTTCCTAGGCTGCCTTCATGGGGGACAAATACAAAGATAAATTATTGAGTGATATCAATTTGAAACATAAATTTTAAATTAAGGATTGTTTTCGGTATGACTTATAAATATTATGATATTAGAGCATCTCTAATATTATTGTTAAAATTATTTGTTAAAGTGTGTTATATAAAAAATATATATATATGAAAAGTGAGATCTATTTGTGTGTTATAGAGAGTGAGTAGTGGTATAATAGAGATGTTAAAATATATGTTAAGAGGTATGTTAAGAATTAAAAATATAAAATATAAAAAAACTTCACTATCATTAAAAATTATAAGAAATTCCATTGCAGTTATTGCCTCTCTCACAACACAGCTGCCAGTGAGCTCGCCAGCAATCTAGCACAAAATGTTTCCCTTATAGCATCTCCAATGGGTTTGTTGAACCCATTGCTAGTATCAGACAATGACAGTTAACTAACTTATGTTTTTATATTTTGCTTCAATGGACTAGTTGTGGTTAGCTGGTGAAAACTGTTTCATGTCATGTCGTGTCATTTTTATATCGTATCATAACGGATTTGTGTTTAAAATAATCTATCATTAACATGGCTCATTTAATTAAACATGTCAATTATATTAACAAAGACTTGACCTACTTATAATTATATTAATCCTAACACGACACGCTTAATACGATTATCAGAAGTTCATATTTCAAATTACAAGCAAATTGTGCCGCCTATTTTTATAATTAAAAAATAAAATAAAAATAAATAAAACGTGCTTCACATAACATGCATAAGAATAACTTATTTAAACATTGACACACAATGATAATATATATCCCAAAATCTATTAAAAATATTCATCACTAATCCAATCTAAATTATTGTCACTCATTAATATTTAAATATCTAATAAATTTTTAAAAGCAAAATAAGTTTTCATCTAATATCAAACTGAGAATAATAATAATGTTCAAAGTAATTGTGATTCTTTCAAATTGACTTTTGTCACTAAAACACTAATACCACACGTTACCAATCTTGACTTCTACCGATTTATCATTAATTTAAGATTATATTTCATTAGATATATATTATATAGAGATTTAAATTTAAATCTAAAATTTGAGAATGAATTACTCATGATCTTATAGTTATGTAATTTAAGTTGTATTTAGGGTACATGCGAGTCAATAGTGGGTTTATCTCAACGTGTCGACACGAATATTTACGCAAGCCAAACGTGTCCATTCCGAATTTCCCGGATTCAACCCAAACGCAACTCATTTAATATTTATATTTTCAGGTGGTGTCATATTTGGGTTCAAGTCAAAAAATGATTAACCCTAACACTTTAATTACGTGTATGATTCAAATCATGTTAACGAGTTACGTATCAAATTCTCACCCCTAGCTAGCTATGTACATTGCATGGTTAACTTTTCACTAAATCAAATGCTAATTGTAGAGAGCACACTAACAACGCAGGAGAAGTGAAAGAGATATATATATATATATAAGTCTGATTATTTGAATCGACGTCCGATCATGACTGAAAATTGACGTTCAAAAACACTTAACACATTAACACACCTTAATTATATCAACTTTCTAAACTAACAAACACTTAACACACACACAAATGAATTTCACTTTTCACACTTCTTATCATATAACATACTTTAACAAATAATTTTAACAACACTATTAAAGATGCTCCTAACAGCACGACTAGTTTGTCCATGGTAGCATTCGTAATGGGCTAAGAATAGGGCATCTCCAGTGTTGATGCTCTTAGTGAGAATAGGGCCTTATTTGGTATAAATTAAATAAATGTATTTATTTAGATAAGTGTATTTATTTAAGTCACATCATTTTTCTATTTTTGTACATATCTTTTTGTAAAAAGTTAAAAAATATACTTATTTAAATCATCTCAAATAATCTCTAAATGTCTCTGAATTATTTTTTCACTTTATTTTTTTATATCGTTCTAACAAAACATAATGCTCTCATTTTTTTTTATTAATTCCTTACTGCAACTATTTTTTTTTTTCAATGGATAAGAGAGTAATTACACTATAAAAAATATTTACATTATCAAATAAATCACTAACCCACAATAATTAGAATGTTAACAAAATCTAATAACCAATCCACTAAACCCACAAGCTCACTAAGCAAAGTTCAACAACCAATAATAATCACATAATCACATAATTACATACTTACATACAATCTCCATAAGAGGTAAGAAATAAACTGACTACACCACAAAAGGTTTCATATTCCTCTATATAGAAATTGAATCCGAAATCTCACACTACAAAAAATAGATGGAAAAATTAGTTGACGGTATATTATATTCAATTCAAATTGTAAATACTGATGCCTAATGTCCCCGGGGGGGGGGGAACAAATATTAAGATAAAATATTAAGTGAGATCAATTTGAAACAAAAATAAATGATCAGATTTTGTGATTAGGTGTTACCAAAAAAATTCACTTTATTGTTCCATAAAAATATATCCATTTTGTTGTGCCCACTAGTTGTCATCATTGCCTTGACTGCCATTTCCACCTACTCGACGAAGTCTTGTGCTTCACCCACAAGGATCTCCGTTCCAACCAAGTAGTGGACAAAGCGACGACGTTTGGAAGAGTGCAAACTTGATCAACAGAATTATACGAGAAGATTATTTTTGTGCTCGTACAAGATCTCAACTAACCATTTCGGTCATGTGAACAATCCTAAAAATATGTCCAACATGCACCATTAAGAATATGGCTAGTAAAAATTAATAAAATAACACAGCTAACAGCTAACAACAATCAAGATCCCTTAGGCCATCTCCAATAGTTCACCAAAATCATCACCAAATTTGAATTTAGTAAAAAAACACACATTTTGTCAACTTTTCTAATCATTCTTTGGCTTCTAAAAATCAAAATGTCACTCAATCCCTTTTTATTAAAAATAATAATAATAAATAAAAAACTGAATTGACCTCGTTTAAGCAATTTAGCAATCCCTTTTTCATTTATCATAAAATTGACTTTGAGTTAATTTCTCAAAATGGTTCACTTTAGTTCATTTTGCAATCCCTTTTTCATTTATCATAAAATTGACTATCTAACACTAGTAAGTTTTTAAATTTAAAATAATAATAAAAATAAACAAGTGCACCATATTTCATAAATCAAACCATCCATTTTATTATTAATTAAAACCAAAACAGTCCTCCTTTAAAGTTTCAACCTCCAATTATAAACCCAAAAAAAAAAACAAAGAAAATTAACAAAATCTAATAACCATTCCACTAAACCCACAATACTTAAAAAGTTAACAAAATCTAATAACCAATCCACTAAACCCCCAAGCTCAACAAGCAAAGTGCAACCATCAATATTAATTATATAACCACATACAATCGCTATAATAAGGGAGAAATAAATCAATTATACCACAAAATATATCAAACTTTTTTTTATTAGAGTTGAACCTGAAACTTCACATCATAGATGGAGAAATTAGTTGAGAGCATATTAGGTTCAATTCAAATCGTAAATACTGGTGCCTAATGTCCCGGGGAGGAAACCAGCACTATTTGGCCAAATATTAAGACAAATTATTAAGAGAGATCAATTTGAAACAAAAAGGTTAGGTCGGTATTGTTGGCTTATTTTTCCTACGAAAGAAAATATCATAAATGCGAACGTGCCAATAAGGATTAAAAAATCCTTACATATTAAATTCAAGTCAATTATCAAGCGATTGCGTTGACGGTTCTTTTGTCTCAATGAAGAGGACTTCAAAATTGCCTAGTGTTAAAGAAAATAAAAATTAAAAGAAGAATGAGGAAGACGGAGAAAGATAATTGAATGAACAATCAAAGTAACAATTACTTACCTCTACTCCTAGGAATTGGGGTCACTGTTGTGCCTTTGGCACAGCAGTGACTGTTGTGCCTCATTTTGTGGTGCATTATGGATTTATTTTTATAATCTGAGCCGTGCATGTTGTAAGGTTTGTTGAGTACTTCATGCCTACCAAAAATCATATTAATCGAATACCAATAACTATATGATTGATAACCAAAAAAATAGACAAGAAGTTTTTCTTTTGAAAAATAGTATAAAAATATGCACTTCGACCATATAGTTATTGATATCCGATTAATATGATTTTTGATAGGTTTGAAGTACTCAACAAATCCTACAAAATGAACGGTTCAGATCATAAAAATAAGCCCATAATGTATTTCAAAATGAGGCACAACAGACTGTTGTGCCAAAAGCACAGCAGTGACCCCAAGTCCCTACTCCTATACTTTGAAAATAAAGTGCATAAAATGCTTTGAAAAGGAAATGCTGAAAATAAATACTTCGAAATATAAATCTATATTAAACTACTCTTAAGATAAGGAAAATACCAAAGGATATTGAAATTAATTGTTTTTTATTTGAATTCTGGATCTTTTACAATATAGCCATAAAGGGCTATTTATAGGCAAACATTTGTAGGAAAAAATTACTTAAAATTACCTACTCTTCCATCTCCTCCATTTCAGATTACATGATCTTCCATAACTTCCTTCAACCTCCACTTCATGCTCCATGTTCTCCACTTTATTATCCATCATCTTTTTACACTTCATAACTTCTCATAACCTTCAAATGAGTTGGAGAATGTCACATGTCTTGCAATTATATAAATAATAAATAATAATAATAATTACAAATTTATAATGCCACCAGGTATAAAATAAAGAAAAATTACAATTCAATGTAAATTTGGAGGGGAGGAGGAACACACGATAAATTTTATAAATATTAATAATTAAAATTATAAACTTTTCATTTATCTGTAAATATTCTTTTTACACTCAACTAGATTGTAATTCCCCCTAAAATAAAATAAAAAAATCAATTGCCAAGTGAAGGCGTCTTGTATGGCCGTTTGGAGTCTATGGTGATGTGATTGATTATTTTTATTTTTTTATTGTAAAAAAAAAAACCCTCAAACGGACCGTAACGCTATGCTTAGATTGAGTGATTTGAAAAGAAAATAAAAGAAATAGAGAGATATATATTTCTATTACTTGTTTAGATAACTTAAGTAAAGAGAAATAGAAAGAAATTGAGAGAAACTATTTTCTCTTATAAGCCTCATTTTCAATATTCCCAAAAGTGGAGAGATTCTGAAAGAAAAAAAATCATTATTTTCATAATACCAATTTTATCCCTATAAAAATAAAAGAAATAAAATGATTGAAAATATAAAAAAGTTATTTTGGTAATATAACATAATATAATTTCTTTTCTTTTCTCTTAATGAAATCTAATCAAATAAGAATGAGAGAAATCACAATCATTTCTTTTTTTTTATTTCTTTCTTATCCAAATAAAAAAGAGAGAAATCACATTCATTTCTTTTCTTTGCTCTTATAAGTTAAGTAATCATTTTTTTTTCTTTCCCCTCCTGAGTTCCAAACATAGTGTAACTGAGTTGACCACGCATAAGCAATTGAGTTAATTTCTCAAAATTTCCCTTTTTCATTTATTATAAAATTGACTAACACTAGTAATTTTTTTAATTTAAAATTATAAAAAATAAGGGAGAGTTATTTATAAATCCTATTTCAGACACTTATACTATGTTAAGTCCTGTGTAATTTCTTATAGAGTTTCAAGTCCTATTTAGATAGGAATGTGTTCCACAAGATCTTATGAGTTGTAAATAAATGGTATTAATATACTATTATACACTATAATGGCAAAATTATATATAAGAAATTGAATGTTACTATAGATCATATCTATATTAATGTGAATTTCAAAATACACGAACAAGTAACATTTTCACATTCAATTTAAAAAATCAAAAAATTATTAAGTTTGCGAAACGTAACGTGACACGTTACGTTACGTTTATGTATGTGTGGCGTTACGTATATGTAGATGTCACGTTACGTTACGTTTATGTCGGTGTCACGTCACATTACGTTTATGTAATGTCCCATCTGATATGGCCACGTTACGTTACGTTTATGTAAGTGTCACGTTACGTTATGTTTATGTAGGTATCCGTTACGTTACGTTTATGTAGGTGTCACGTCACGTTACGTTTACGTAATGTCCCATCTGATATGATCACGTTACGTTACGTTTATGTAGGTGTCGCGTTACGTTTCACAAATTTAATTTATAGTAATATTCAATTTCCTATATATGGTTTTACCATTATTTATGATATTAACAACTAATATTGAAAGTAAATGTGTCAACAAACTTCACACAGAACTTATGAGAACATAATTTTTTTAGTAGAACCATATGTAGTATAAGTCTCTCTAATAGGACTTATTAATAATTTTCCTTAAAAATAAACAAGTGTAATCAAATTTCATCAATCCATCCATTTTATTTTATTATTAATTAAAACCAAAACAGTCCTCCTTTAAAGTTTCAACCTCCAATTACAAACTCAGTCCCAACAAAAAAAACTCCAATTATAAACCCAAAAACAAAATCATCATCAAAAAAAAAAAAAAAAACATACCAAATTCAACCTCTGAGATCAAAGCACTTTGAGCATGTCCTCAGCACCACTGAAAGTAAAAGAACCACCTTCCTCCAAACTCAACACCTTCACAACGCCATCCTCCACCAACATCGCGTACCTCCTCGACCTCACTCCCAACCCCACCGGATTATCACTCAGATCCAATTCGCACCCAATCGCCTTCGTGAAATCCCCATTCCCATCGCTCAGCATCATCACTTCATCTTCGATTTCCAGCCCCTTCTTCCACGCCTTCATCACAAACGCGTCGTTCACGGACACGCAGGCGATCGCGTCGATCCCTTTCGATTTGAGCTCCGCGGCCGCCGACACGAATCCGGGGAGGTGTTTTTGGGAGCAGGTTGGGGTGAATGCGCCTGGGACGGCGAAGAGGATAGTTTTTTTGTTTTTGGTGAGGTCGGAGATGGTTAAGGTTTGGAGCTCGTCTGCGGCGTCGAAGTAGGAGAGTGTGGATTCAGGGAGCTCGTCGCCGACGGAGATGATGGCGGAGATATTGGTGGTGGAGGATTTGAGGGAGATTGGGCGGCGGTGGCGGAGATTGAGGGGGAGGAGAGAGAAAGAGGAGGTGGAGAGAGAGGGGGGTTTGGGGGAGGAGAGTAGTAAGGTTGTTGACATCGTTTGAGCTGTTGTGGCTGCCATTGCTGTAGAGATAGAGCAGTGTATGTATAATGTATATCTATATCTATATCTATATCTATATATATGTGTGTGTTGTAGAGAGGGAATTTGGGGGGTGTTTAGAGAGAGAAATGTGGGGGTGAGTTGGGTGAAGTTGGTTGGCGTTTGGGAATCTGTGGATGAGTTTGGGATTTTGGGCGGAGGAGGAGACGATGATGGTGGGTGTGGGCTATTTTATGGTTTTGTTTTGTTTTGAGACAAATGATCCCTCCCGTCCATGAGTTTATCTAAATGGCTATGAAACTACTCATCAACAAATTACCAAGATAGAGCGGTAGATTCAAGGAGGCTTGAAGCAATTTAGGAGTTTACTTTGGTGATTCAAAGTTTGCAATACCTCATTTTTCTCAAATAAATCATGTGATTTTATGATAATTTTAGGTTTTTAATGTTGGAATGTATCGTTGCCCACCATAAGACCCATCTCGGTCATTTGCGATGGACTTATCAAATAGTTTAGGTTGAGTTTCTTTTGAAGTCTTGAGATCTCTTAAGATCTAAATTGGAGAGTACTGTTTAGGTCCGTGAGATTCATCACGAGTTCCATTTGAATAATTTAAATAATTTATTTTAAATTATTTTCTGAATACCAACACGTGGCAAGATGACGCCGACGTGTCAGCCGAGGTGCCACATGTCCAGGTTGTAACGTCGAGGTTATCTCGGCAAGTCCGAGGTTATCTCCGAAGATATCGAAATCTGAGATAAATGGATAAAAGATAAGAGACAAAAGTCCTAGAGTAAAGAGAAGACTTAGCCAAGATAAGGATAAAGCTCTTAGGGAGTTTATCTTTATCTCTTGAAGAGTCCAAAGTAAGTACTGAATTGGAGTCCATAGAAGTCAAGCTTCTAGTGGGACTAAGATTGAGTTAAACTATAAAAGAGAGGCACCCCCGTGGGTCTAAGGTACGCAGTTTTATGCTTTGAGTAGTGAGTTTAGCACTTGAATATCTTTGAGAGATATACTGACTTGATCGTCGGAGTACCCCCGGGTGGAAGAGCCACCGCCGGAGCCTTTTCTTTCGGTTGCAGGTTAGTTGAAGCCATCTATTCTGCCGGTGCTCTCCAGCTGATTACTAGGCGGGCAGTGTGGTTAGAAAATTACCCACATAATTTGGCGCCGTCTGTGGGAACTTAGAAGAATAGATGGCCAGTAACGGACAGAGGGAAAACATTGTGGGCGACACTCCTGCTCGGAGTGGCAGACCAATTGACCTTGACGTTGAAGGAGACAACCACAATACAGAAACTCATGACCAGGGCCACGGAGAGAAAGACGTCGGCCAGGAGGGCGACGCTTCGAAAAGGACAGACCAAAGCAAGTATTATAACGAAGATAACCTTCAGGTATGGAGGGATAGGTGCCTACGGAGGGATGAGGAAGTAAAAGACTTGGCAAACAAGTTGGCCGACCTACAGTCAGTGGTCAACTTCATGATGTAAAACAATGTCATGCAGCCACCATACCCGCTGCAGGATACGCCGATGCCAGCAACTAACACCCAGAAGGGAGGAAGAAGAACAATCCCGAAGTCCCTCAGCACACTAGGAGCGGAAGGCACTCTCACCGACCTTCCAGGGAAGGCGGACGAAAGGAGCCGAGACGAGAGGAGTCCCGAAGAACGTATCACACAAAGGATCCAGAACCCAAAGAACATCGGCATGTTCAAGGGCAGGCGCTTTGCTCTGACACAACACATGGAGAGAGATCAAAACGAGCCCACCACGAGGCCGAAAGTAGTGTGCCGAAGAGATTGAAGTCCAGAGATAGCCGAGCTCCAGGAAGGAGTAAAGAAGACTTGAGAGATTACCTCAAGAGGAAGCAACAGAATGCTGAAGCTGAGGTAACTTCCCCGGTTAAGCCGAGGACACCATTCTCGGTGGAACTGGACAAATTTCAAGCACCAAAGCGATTCAGTATTCCGAGGTTCCAAATATATGATGGTAAGTCAGATCCCAACTTCCACGTCGGGCTATACCTGAATTCAATGGCATTATATAGTGGGAACGAGCCGTTGCTCTACAAAGTATTCCCCTCGTCCTTTAGGGAAATTGCATCAGATTGGTTCCATAAACTACCGAAGGGAAGCGTAAAGACTTGGAAAGGCCTGGCCGAGATGTTTGTGGCCAGGTTTGTGACAAATAAACTACAGCCCTTGAGGGTCGACGCACTGATGGCTTTAAAAATCGCCAAGGATGAAGGCCTTAGGGCCTACGCAAAAAGGTACTACGAGGTGTTCAATCGAATACCTAATTGCAACCAAGAGGTGGCGGTTGTATCCTTCAAGAACGGCCTGAAAGATGACTGCCCACTACGGAAATCTTTGGCAAAGACATTACCAAAAAACATGGAAGAACTCATGGCGAGAATAGAGAAGTACGCCAGAGCCGAGGAGGATACGTCGGGAAATAAAGAAACAAAGCAGGAGAAAGGAAACGGCTCGCCGAAGCGAAGCCGAGGCAACAATGGACCAACCAAACAAGAAACGGAATTGAGGGCTAAACAGGCAGTAACGACTATATTCCGAGTCCCGATCCACAAAGTCTTGGATCAAATACGAAACCAGCCATATTTTAGAGGACCGACAAGAACACTAGGGGAATTCATGGGAAGAAACGTCGGTAAGCGTTGTGCTTACCATAATGAAAAAGGGTATCCAACTCAGGGCTGCAGAGCCCTAAAAGCACACTTAGAAGACTTGGTAAGGCAAAGACATCTGAGGGACCTTGTTGATGAGGCCAGGACTAGAGAAGAACAAGCAAGATTGCCTCAAGCACCAGCAGCCCCGCCTCCCCCAGCACAGCAACCACCCGCAGGACCACGGGTGGTTAACGTAATTCACTCAAAGGTGAACGAAAACGACATACGATGGGAGACCCAGAAGGTAAAACACCTATAACACGTGAACCAGGTTGAACATAAACGACCTCGGCCTGAAGAATGCCAGGGACCGACGATAGCATTTACTGAAGCCGACCTAGAGATGGTCCAGCATCCACATAATGATGCCTTGGTAGTATCCCTCCAGGTTGGGGAGTACCAAGTAAAACGCATCTTGATTGATCAAGGCAGCTCTTGTGACATCATGTATGTTAGATGTTACAAGGAGCTGGGCCTTCATCCTGACGACTTGGAACAATACAATAACCCGATGGTCAACTTCAATGGAACGCCGACGTGGCCACTGGGCGCAACAAGCTTGGAAGTACAAGCTGGCACTAAGAAGATCAGGACAGAATTCATGGTGATTGACACACCTTCACCATATAACATCATCTTGGGAAGACCATGGTTGCATGCAATGGGGGCAGTTCCCTCAACATTGTATCAACTACTGCGGTTCCCAACAGAGCATGGGATTGAAGAAGTCAGAGGAGATCAACTGCGGGCAAAAAGTTGCTCCATGGCAGCAATGAAGTCTACTTGCAGCATTCGAGAGCCAAAAGAGGCAGAAATTGAAGATGAGGACGTGGAAGTACTAGAAGACGTCGGCAAAGAACCAGCCGAGAAAAGCAAAGAGGCGCTAAAGAAAATCCTCGTCCAGGATGGAGACGAAGAACGCTTCTTTCTTCTCGGCTCGGGCTTAGCTGAAGAAGAGGAAAAAGAGTTGGAGACTTTTTTAAGAGCCAACATTGAGGTGTTCGCCTGGACACCTTACGAAATGCCTGGCATTGACCCCGAGGTCACTTGCCACAGACTGAATGTCGACAGGTCAGCAAAACCTATGATTCAACGCGCCAGAAGACCGACGTTGATGCACGTTGAAACAGTAGAAGAAGAAGTGGATAGACTTCTGGAGGCCAGGGCCATCCGAGAAGTTCATTACCCGACATGGCTATCCAACACAGTAGTGGTAAAAAAGAAGAACGGTAAATGGCGGGTCTGCGTAGATTTTACAAGCCTGAACAAAGCTTGTCCCAAAGACTGTTTTCCTCTACCCAAGATTGACCAGTTGGTAAACGCCACATCTGGACATGGAAGGATGAGCTTCCTGGATGCTTACAGAGGATACCACCAGATAGCCATATACCTTCCAGACGAAGAGAAGACAGCGTTTATCACCCCGAAAGGACTGTATTGTTACAAGGTAATGTCTTTTTGGGTTGAAAAACGCTGGAGCAACTTACCAAAGGTTGGTAACCAAGATGTTTAAAAATCTGATTGGCCAAACAGTGGAAGTCTACATTGACGACATGGTCGTGAAGACCAAGGATCCAAAGGGACATCTTGCCGATCTAAAAAAGGTCTTCGATATACTCAAAACATACCGGCTCCGACTTAACGCATCGAAGTGCACATTTGGAGTTGGATCAGGTAAGTTTCTGGGATACCTGGTAACAAGAAAGGGCATTGAGGCCAGCCCAGATCAAATCAAGGCCATCCTAGAGTTGAAAAGCCCGACGTCGGCAAAGCAGGTTCAGATGCGCAGCCCTAAACAGGTTCATCAGCAGAAGCTCAGACAAATATAAACCCTTCTTCAACCTGGTAAAGAAAGCCACGGACTTCTTATGGGCTGAGGAATGTGAGGCCGCTCTGGCCGACCTAAAAAAGTACCTGACCGCGGCTCCAGACCTCTCAACACCTGAACCTGGGGAAGAACTGTTTTTGTACTTAGCCATTTCAAAACACGCAGTAAGTGCAGTACTAATCCGAGAAGAAAATGGAGAGCAAAAGGCTGTATACTATGTAAGCAAAACCTTGGCCGATGCAGAAACAAGGTACCTCCCACTAAAGAAATTAATCCTGGCCTTAGTAATGGCTTCAAAGAAACTGAACCATTACTTTCAAGCACACAAGATTATAGTGCTAATAGAGCACCCGCTGAAGTCCTTGTTACAACAAGGAGACTTAATTGGAAGAATAGCAAGATGGGCAGTGGCCTTGGGCCAATACGACCTGGAGTTCAGACCGAGAACAGCAATTAAAGGCCAAGTTTTGGCCGACTTCGTGGCCGAATTCACACCGGAATCCATCGAACATCAGGCTCCGTTGAGCCGAGATGAACGATGTCCAAGCAAACAAGGAGAAGCCCAGCCAAAGACAAAAGAACAAGGAAAAGAGAAACTAAGACCCTGCAGCATTTACATCGGCGACTCCTTTCGCCTGTTTGTCGATGGGAGTTCAAACCGGCAAGGAGCGGGGGCAGGAGTAGTGTTAATATCTCCTGA